CATCAAAAAAAAACCATTCTTCTAATTTCTTAGGTATCTACCAAGTTTTATATACAACACAAAACAATATATGAACATGATTTTTGTCTATATATCTAAATGACACAACATTAGTTTCCAACGAAATGAATGTGTGTATTTAACTATATTTTTAACTGACTTCAAAACGAATGCTGTACTCAATTCGGTTATATTATTTTCTGTTATTCCTGTCTGCAGTGGACTGGTAAATATATTGTTTTAAGTCCGCCATTTCTACTGTCTAGCTGTCCTTATTTTCATCATCATTTCAGCCATTATTCGTCCACTGCTGGACATTAGCCTTTCCCATATACTGCCATAAAAAACGGTCTGAGCCACCTGCATCCACTAACTACCTGCAATGCATTTCAGGTCGTCACTCCATTTAGTGGGAGGTCGTCCTACACTGTCTAGCTATATTAAAGTTTAATAAATATATAATTAAATGTGTGTAACTTGTATTAACATTTGTATATTTATAAAAACGAAGGATAAAATATATTTAATATAAAATACACACCGAATCAAACATCAAAAATATCCTTATTGATACTACTATACAGTAAAAAACCTTAAAAATTAATTTAAAATATTGATTATTTTTTTTAATAATGGAAAAATTACTATACAGCCTTACTATATGACGTCAGATATCCTTAATATGATCGACTAAATATAAACAAATTAAATGTTACGAACTAAGTACGATCTAGGGCCAATAAAAATGACAAAACCCATTGGGTGGCCGCAAAATATTTGTAAAAACAAAATGCAGCTATAATATCATTATTAAGTTATTGTATTACCTTTTCATTAATTTATCTTTTAAAATGTTACCATCAACAAACAATATTGGTAGTATCTACTTCATTGAATAATGATATTCAAACTCTTGCTAAGCCTTAGCCGTACATACATGCCCATGGCTTAAAATAAGGTTTCCAGTCAGTTCATATTTGAGTAACGCCGGTACCTATAATACAATAGACGATATTAGAAAAAAATATAAGTATAAAAATGTTTCATGTTAAATATTATTGTACCTAGAAATTGCACGGAGTTCCCTATCCAAATCGATAGGCTAACAAAACACGAACAGGACATAAACCGGCGCACATGTTTGTTCTCATTGCTGCGGCAAGCGAATTTTAGTCATAAGCCCAAACTATCGCTTTGTAAAATTACAATTACAAAATTCAACCTTATTTTCATGTTAATAAGAATGAAGTTACTGTCAATGAGTAACAAGATCAGGTTTGTTATCATGAGTGTAGCTTTGTTAATCTAGCCTATTGTGACAAAATCGAATAGTAAAGGTTCATCTCATTTGAGTCTGTTGATAAGCTAAGATTATGTTACTGTTTGCATTATATACAACTCTAAGTGTAAATTATATGTAAATTATGTATTATGTAAACACTAAAATGAGAGATCTCGCCATTTCAGCCTTCTTTATTCAATGTCCATTGATGATTTGTGATATACATAAATCTCCCAGAGACAGTTATGCAATGATCCTGAGTTGTTTGCATCTACCTTATGCAACACATTTGAGATCATCACTTTCTAGTTATGCTATAATATAGCCTACGTCATGAAGTTTAGTTTTAATGTCCTCCAAGGATTATGCCATAATTATATTGTATATTATAGTCGGCAAATCAAAAGTAATATATTCGCTATTGCTGGTTATTCCATATCCTTTCCAACCAAATCCTATCATGTGAGAAAAAATTCGGGATATGACATCATCCTATAATACACTTTTCTGCACTTGGATAGGTTTTATACATCAGTTTTGTAATTAGATAGACATCATAGTTGCAGTGTATAATTATACACTTCAGCACTTCAATATACCGATATGACTATTTGACACCGCTGTAGGGATCGCAGTACCGCCCACGTCTCGGTTGAATCAAAGGCTTTCTCATAGTCCATGAATTTAATTAATAGAATTACCTTCATAGCAATACCTACATAGAAATACCTACTCATGAATAAGAAACAAGGATTTAAAATACAAAAATATTATTCACAACAATTGTGAACATGTTTTACGCTAGAGAGCATCTATTAAGGAATCGGTCGGTTAACTTCTAAGCAAGAATAATTTGTATAAAGTATTATTGTAATCACAGCTATTATAAGAATATTGTATTATTGTGAACAATACGGCTGATTTTTTATGTATGATGATTTTAATACGTGCAATAGCACTAATATTAAAATCACATTCATTACTCTTTTTGAAATAGAATAGCCGATAGATCAATTAATTAAAAAGTAAAATTATAATTACCATATAAATTATTTAGTCAATCAGAGCAAACCATTTTTATTACATTACTAGTAATAATACTGATTTATACAATTATTCGAAAACATCAATAAATAGATACCCTGGATCTTCGTGATGATAATATTACCTTCTTGCCAAATCTGTGACCATCACTACAAAGAACTATGATAAAACAAGTAACGTAGAATATCATGACCTAAGTTTCGCAATATTGGACATACTATTCAATCTACAAGATTATTGGACAACTTTCTGAAGGTAAGTTAAATTAGAATTTAAAGGCAGATAATATTCAATAGTCTTAAGTAATATCCTTTTAGTATATATACTCAAAGGTTATGTAGAAATTATGGAAATATATTTCCATAATTGCAGTACCAGTTATATGCTTTAGCAAAAACGAATACCTCGAAAAATTAAGTAGTTGCTTAGCTAATGGAATCATTATATAATTAGCTAACTGTACTCATTTATTATTATTTTATGTCAATGTGGGTATGGTATGGCATAGAGTTCGAGTTAAAATATTGTTAGTTATGAATATTGTATATTTGTGAAATTTTTAAGTGATGATAACTTGACTCTTTAACTAGAACTAACAAGTATTAACGTACTTGTTAACAAGACATAAGCTCGAAGTTCAAAGAATTCGAAAGGTCGATAACTGTTTGATATAAAATAACAGTAATTTAATATTGCCAAAAATTTTCGTATCTCAGGTGATCTGTAGCCGATAAAACAACTATCTTTTTTATTTATATAAACTACCGAATATATTAAAGTAAGCTAGATATATATGATAGTATGTAAGTAGTAGTATACCTAAAATATTTTATACAATAATTAATTAACATGTATAATATGCCGAAACATTGGTACGCAGCCCACGGAATACACCGTAGCAGTGTTGGTATTTTTACATGCATAATGAAATTCGCTATAATTACCACACATGTTTCCTTTATTATTTAGTATTTTTAATATATTTTAATATTATTTAAAATATTTTATTAAAAATTAATTAATCATTTTATTATAAACCTCCTCTTGCATGTTCTCTAAATACAATGTTGAAAATTTTTCTTTTATATTACAAGCAGACGTTTTATATCAAGAGTTTGTTGACATTAGTACGTCGAGCGAAACGTATTGGAGGGAAGCGTGCGGCATTGCTGATTCGACGTACCGCGATTTATTTCACAAACACCAACATTTTGGAAGACTGTGAACAGACTATATTTCTATTTTGGTCTCTATTTATATTTATCTTTAAATGACTATCACATTTACAGAATAAATTAAAATAATTTTACAGAAATTCTATGCACATTATACAAGAGGCGACAGGAAAAATTATAATATAAACTAATTGGTAGCTAAATACAAAACCGAAATTCTAGAGTATGAAAATAATTTTTGGAACCGCGTAGTTAACTGTAATATAGTATAAAAAGTAAAAAAATTGGTATTTTTAAATTTCAACACGAAAATTTTCTGTTTCATATGTCATACCTCTGCGTTTCGAGTGCTTATGTTTTTCGCTACACCCTAGACAATTATATGTGAATTGTCTGGAATTCATTTAAAAATATTTTGCTTATATCTACAAAATATATAATGTATCTTCGTAATTTTTCAATTACACAATAACTTATTAGAATATGATTTTAATATTTTAATTATATTTCTATATAGTACAAATATATTTAAAAAAAAATAATACACAGTAGCAACGATAAAATTCTTAGATTGTATCACTCCTTAAACCTACAAATATTACAAAAAAATATTTTTCTTATATTTTCTAATATACAACATGACTGCCTCCTATTTCCTTATAAATTGAGGTATTTTATACAAACTTCCCTTGAATAATACGTACAAGACTCTCTATGACTTCATCAACTTCTTAGTTAGCTTGACAGAAGGACGAAAAGTGGAGGCTGCGCTGGGTTTACGTGTAAAGTTTTCCTCATAAGCTCACCGCAGGGTGCTCCCCTATCAATTGCCGTCGTCCTTCTCCCCCCGCCCTCCCTTGCTCCCTCGTCGGAACGCTCCACTAATGATCCCACTTGTTAGGGCTCAGTGCGGACCTTCGGCCGTGTCACCGGATGAATAACAAATTCTAAGCTGATCCCGACGCAACCCGTAGCAACGGCCGGTCAAATATTACCAGGCCGTAAGATTCTCATGCAACAAGCGTCTTACTGTACAGGCCACTCACGGTTTTATATATTTTGTGGCAGCTGACTACAATAAAGTTACGAGGTAATTTGCTCAACAATGTACGCAATGAAAATTTTATTTTGACATTTTCATTTCTTCAGTAAGAAACTAAGAAATATTTTATTAGTAGGCAAATATGCCGGTATTAATATTACATATGTGAAACTTTTTAAAAACGTTAGAATGTTTTGTAGTTATTAAATTATTACATAAATATCTAATGTAATTACGTTAGATATTTATTATTAAATACTGTTAAACCATGGAATAACAACATATGTTTCCAACTTTTTGTATAACCAATTACACCAATATTTAATTTTTGTTGGTTACTTTAAAAACATTAATCAATCATTATCACATTTACATATCCAATTTGTAGGACTATCAATACCGTTAAAAGCATTTGTAAATTAACATAATTTCCTGAACATTTTTTGATGAGACTTACCATCAAATTGCTGGGTGGCCTGAGCAAGGAGCGAAGCGAATACTCGGTCGGCGAGCGGTGGCGCTTGCTGCGGGCGGTCATCATCGCTGCTGCTGTACCGGTCCCCGCCCCATTCGAGCGAACGTTGTCGTCGCACGCTCGGCGTGCCGCCCGGCACACCGCCCGGCACACCGCCCGACAATCCGCTCAGCGAACCGGCCTTCGCACGCCTCCCCGCTCGCTCCATCCTCGACGCATTCATGGCATTTTGCTAGAACATCTGTAAATAAAATTAAATCATTCAATAAAAGGGTAATCAAGTTTTGTTGAAATTATCACAGAAAAAATAAATATAAATAAATTAAAAATAACTCGAAACAATTAACTCGAATAATTACATACTATATTATTATATATATTATTTATATTATTTTTATTAAATTTTATTGAAACCAGCTATACATGCTTAACGTTACTGTCCATATTTCTCACTAGAAGACAACATAATGAGACAATTGACACTTGTTTATTATAACTATCCTATTGGTCAAATTATGTTGATTCCATAAATCTCATTGCCGTCATCCTCATGCTGCGCTGTATGTGCAGCGTTTTCTTAAAACCAAAAAAATAAAATATTAAAGTATTCATTTATCTCTTTAGTTATATGAGCCTGTGATTTAATAAGGAGTTTACTGCATAGCTGTGTGAAGTTACGCGGTACATATACGTAAACATTTTAAATATACGCATGAATCTTCAACAGTTTCTTAAAACAGCAATCTCAATATTCTTAATACTAGATAAAAATACAAACTTGAAATTTTGAAATTTTAATTTAAAAATTTCAATTGGGTCTTAAATATTATAATAATTTAACAAAGAACATTTTTAGACTACCTTTTAATAAACTGTTCTTAAGAATCTGTTATTAAAAAACACTTATTGAACAAAGCCACACTAAACGATTATTTGAATGAACAAACGTGCATAGTGTCAGTCGATCATGGACGGGATTTTTAATAACCACGTATTTTTTTATTTAGTATACTTAAATACATATATAATAATATTAACAGAAATCTAAAAGAGTAACTGTTGAGTTCTTTGCGAATCCTTCTCAGCAAACAACATTCTGAACTCTGCAGTAGTTGTATAAAAAAATTACAATTTAAAAGAATCTGTAAACAAGTCTAACTGAATAAAGATGATTTGAATTTCAATTTGAATGTACCAAAAAATTATACAGCAGAATGTAGTTATATTAACATGTTGTTAGAAACCAAAGTTCTTTAAATACCTAAATCTTATGCATCTGATTAAAATACTGGAATATATTATAGTCTGAAATCCAATTGTTTTCAAGAAGAAAATTGAAGCGCCTTCTAACTATACTACATCGACAAATGTTATATCTGAATAAATTATTTGAATAATACTTTGTCTATCATTTTGAATAATACAACAATCATAAAATCAAAGAGATTCCAATACAGAGTTTTATAAAATATTATTTAAAGAACACGGCCACATTTTTCTTTCAGTTTCAGCAAATCTATCAGATTGGAGATTATTTTCTTGAGAAATACGTATATATATCTCAACAATGGACTCTATTCAACCAAATCGCGTTATCTATGTATACATATGTACTTAATAAAACTAATGATTCAGTTATTTACAACTCAATTGTATTACAAAATATTTCCGACATAACACAAACGGAAGGTTATGTACATTTCTTAATTCCGAATACAACGTAAGCCCCTTGCTGAAAACAAAGAATCGACACGATATTTTATCGAAGCGGTAACGACGTCGTGAGCGGAAAAGAACAACTGTAATAAAGAGCCTACAAGTTGTTTAGTTAGCGACCCAACATAAATAGGAAGTTGGCGCGAGCGTGCGTGTTGGAGGCCTAATCCGGTGGATTGCCGCGACATTGCTACGACCCGCGGCCCGGCCAAGCCGACAACGTTTTTACTATTGACTCAGTAAGGCGCCCTTAGTCCAACACTTTGCTTGAATGATCCTTTTAATCATTCTGTAGTTTGAAAGTCCGCGTTTTTACTCGTTATCAATAAAATGTTCTTGTGAAAACTTAATGAAAATCTTTATTTCCTTTAATATACACGATTAAATGGAAAGCAAAGAGATATAATAATATGTATAGTTAGTGTATGAAAATGGGGATAAACTCAACAGGGTACTACACTTAGTAATGCTACAAATAGTAATATAGAGCATGTTTTCAATTTTGGACTTTATCACATCATTTGATCTCAACGACTTAATATAAAATTAATAAATGAAGGATTAGTAATATTAGAGTCATTTTATTTGTCTTAAATACATAACAACGGTACGAAGTAAATATGATAGAAGCCATGTTAACTCTGAAACATTTATGAAAATCGAAGAGTTAAAACCTGAAAATTAATTTCAGTTGTATTTGACGAAATAAGTCATAAACATTTCAATCAATAAATATTTTTTAAATTTGTGATTGGATCATTTAAATAAAAATTAACAAGTTTTATTTCAGAATGCTACGTCAATAGTATATACAAAGACTAGCATACATAATCTTCACTCGATAAATAGTCAGACTTACATTTTATAACTTTATCTCACAAAAGAAAATAGACTTTTCATTTAAAAAATATTAAACAAAATAAATCGATTCATCATTGACAAAGATATCTTATAAAATATACACAAAGATATCTTATATAATTATCTTATAAATACAGTTGAGTTTAGAACCTCCTAAACTTATTTAACAGGTAAATGGGATGATTAATTGAAAACCTTTGCAATTAAGACTATTAATAATATCATTAATAACAAAGTGAGAACTCGGTGCAGATAACAATTGTCAAGGTTTACTGCACTCATTTCTCATTTCGTATCGGCAAAATAAACAGAAGCGGTTTCATTAGAGATTCGCCGACATGCCATAGACATGCATATGTTTAGAATTTTTCACATAAGTTTAAGTTTTTTTTCTTTTTTATTGAAATTGTCAGTATTCTTACTCTACATTTAAAAGGTCACTATCCTAATGACTTTATAAATGTTAAAGTGAATTTTTTATCGCTTATCTCTTTGCATATTTTCGACTCGACTAATTTAATTCAGCATTAGGTATTTGAAACTCTTATATTAATTAAATATATAGTCTTATGTTAAAAATATACAATTAAAATTAAATAGATATGAAAAATATTAGAAAATGCACAGTAAACTTAATAATCCTAAAAGTAACATATAACGCAGACTACTACTTTATCGAATCGCCTTAAAATTTCATTTTATTTTGTTTACAAATATCGCTTATTAACTACAGATCTTGCATAACTATTAACTCTCATATGACTTTTTATATGAACTCTGGTAATAACTTGGTTTTTATAATGTCTATAATAAAAAAAAATATAACTGCTACTATTGCTACCAATTTATTTATTTGCACCAGATCATTTTCGGCTTCAGGACATTAACAATAGCAATATCATTTATCATTCTAAACGTCTGGAAGACCGAATTGACTATTTAATAATATTAGCATGGGCGAAATAGGGTGCCCAATAATTAACAAAGTGTCATGTCTACAAGATGCAAGGTTTGTAAGCGCGGGTTGTCGGCGTAGGCTAATAGCGCGTCTGATGGACCGCTCGGTTTAATATAAAGTAGATTCTCTGTTTACCCGGCTGTGTCGCAGCGTTAATAAATACGCCGCTTCCTTTACAGGCGGGACTGTTTCCTTTTTTATTCAATATTTACTCTCATTATACACGATCCGAGCGCTATATTAAAGTTTTAATTTCAGCACATGTCTGTTGTATGTTCTGCTAGGTTTTTTTTTTATTATTGATAGAGAAAATAAAACAATAATTAAAATATTAATATATTATTTAACTTAATATATCGTTTGATATTTATACCAAACAATTTGACACATCGAACGACTAAGCATGGTAAAGTAACATTAAAACATTTATTTTTTTATAAAAAAAAAATACTTACTTTTCTGATCTTTCTGTTAAAAAATAAATGTATATCTAATAAAAAATAAATGTTTATCTGATAAAAAATAAATGTTTATCTGATAAAAAATAAAGGGAAGATTAAAATAAATATAATAATAAAAATAATACACGCATTTGTTTAAATACTACTATTATTTTGTCGAAGCATCACCTTTTTCCTTGACTAAACTTCTTAACATGTGCAAATAATTGCTCTATCATTGACTTCTCCCAATATATAGAAAAATATAATTCTGTATCAAAACTATAACCTCTGTTTCATACACAACCATCTCCACACTAAAGTGAATGTCCTTCCATTTTATTCTTACTTGCGTATATCTAACTTTACCTGTAACTAGCAATATTACTATAAATAAATGTATTTTTCCCAAGAGAACAAGTCTGGATTCAATCATTTCATTTTCACAACAGCTAGAAACATAACAAAGTATATACTTTATAGTAGCAATAAAATTTAAATATTTTAAATCAATAGTAGCCAAGATATATCTGCAAATATCTTCATAAACTCAATAATGCAATAAAATGCACGGTACAACAACTAGCTATATGTGGAGATAAAAGACATTAAGATGAGATCCATATAGATTCTTCATCCTCGTCACGTCCGAAATAAGCGTCAGGCCAATTGGGAACAAGACAAGCATGTGAATTATGACCCAAACGTTCCCGCTAACGCTGTATTAAAACTGCATCTTACACTCATGACCTGACCTTCTTACTCGTACATCCAATTTGCATAATGGACGCGTAAAGTATATAGCAATGTTCACATCGAGACAGCCAATATCCACTAAGAAGCATGTCTACCTACTTAATATAGGATATCGTTATTTCAGAGATTGTACACTTTGCAATAATTTTTAAATGTTTCATAAATAGTAGTTATTCTAAAATCGTTGTTTACCGCATTTACATCTGTGTAAACCCATTATCTTTTGTCTTTCGTAATAGAAATTTACATAATACTTTCACTGTACTGCCACAGTTTTGTAGAGCAGTAACAAATTATGCAAAACTCCATTTTTACTGTCATTATAATAATGTAATTACAGTATTTTTTTCTATTACTGTATTATTGTTAGTTCTATGGTTTTTGATAAGTGGATTGGTACGTAAATATTTAAGGCTCACCAACCATAGGTATATATATTACAAAAAGAATGGCCACCCCTTATTTTCCCGTCGTAAGAAGCAACTAAGGAAACTTAATGGTAGAAGGATG